AATCCAAGTACAGAATTCTTTCCCCCATCTTTTACAGTTGACTTAATATTCTCATCTACTTCAAAACCATTTTCCGTAGTGACTTGACTTTGAAAGCGTTCATTTTCTTAAAAACAAGCTATCATGTCTTACTCATATCTCATCAGTTACATATTTAATTCACGCCGGGCAGGGTGGCTCACACCTGTAATCCCAGCACTTTGAGAGGCCGAGGCAGGCGGATCATTTGAGGTCAGGAGTTCAAGACCAGCCTGACCAACATGGTGAAATCCTGTCTATACTAAAAATACAAAAAAATTAGCTGGGCGTGGTGGCACGTGCCTGTAGTCCCAGCTACTAGGGAGGCTGAGGCAGAAGAATTGCTTGAACCTAGGAGGCAGAGGTTACAGTGAGCTGAGATGGCGCCACGGCACTCCAGCCTGGGTGACAGAGCAAGACTCCGTCTCAAAAAAAGAAAAAATATTTAATTGAATTACATTTTATAATAATCCTTCCAGGTGTGGAAAAACGGACTCTTGGTAAGCATACAGTTCAACTGGTGTGAGCCCAAGTGACTGACATTCTAGAGAATGCCTATGGCCTTCCAATGGGCAGGGCGATGGGCAGTCAGCATGTCTTACGAGGAAATGGAAGTGTGTTGGATAAGCAGAACAAACAGCTACGAGAACTCTGCCACTGTGAGAGCTTTAACTGGCCTCAATTCCTCTTTTTTGAAGTACACTTTATGTTTTACAATAATTTGAGATGTACAGAAAAGTTGCAAAAACACCAAAGTGTCCCCTCAATTTCCCCCACTGTCAACATGACATTATTATGGTATGTCTGCCACAACTAAGAAACCAACATTGGTTCGTGAGTTACCTAAAACTCTATACTTCGTTAGGATTTTACTCATCTCTCCATTAAAGTCCTTTTGCTATGCCAGGCTCCCATCCAAGTCACCACACTATTACCAGTCAGCATTATCTCCTGAGCCTCTTCTGGTCTGTGGCAGTTTCTTCAACTTTCCTTGTTTTTCATAACCTTGACCGTTTTGAGGAATACTAGCTGTGTATCCTATAGAACGTCCCCAATCAACGTTCATCTGTTTTACTCATGATTAGACTGGGCTATGGGTTTTGGGGAAGAATACCAAAGAGGTGAAGTGGCCTTCTCATCACATCATGTCAACCATCACATCGTCAGCAGGACTTTCCAGTGAGGATGTTAACAAGTACCTGGCCACGGCAGCATCCAATAGGCTTCTCTATTGTAAAGTTACTTATTTTCCCCCTTCCCATACTCCACTTTTTGGAAGCGACGTCATTATGTGTAGCCCACATTCAAGAAGGCATTGGAGGCGGAATTCATCTCTGTTAAGTATTTGAAATTAAGTATTTGAAATCTACATTAAGTATTTGAAATTCTTCTGTAAAGAAGCATTGTCTTCTGTCTCCCATCTCCCATTTACTTATTTATTCATTCAGTTGTTTATATCAGTATAGACTCATGGATAACTATTTATTGAGTCATAATCCAATAGTACATGAGTTTGTTCCAGTTTTGTCCACTGGGAGCTCTTTCAGGTTGGCTCCCGGGTCCCTTTGACACGTCCCATCCTTCTGCTTTTTGAGTATTTTCTTCCTTGTTCTGGTATACACGACGCTCTAGGCTCATCTTGTATTTTCCCTGCCCCAGCCCTAGAATCAGCAATTTCTGCAAGGAGCCCTGGTTTCTTTTACTAGAGAATGGCATTAGAAACCCAGATCTGGGTACTGGGTGTGTTCATTTTTACTGGGGTGTCACTGCTTTAGGTCCTCTCACAGCAGGCAGAGCTAGAACATATGTATATGTATAACCCATGTATACACACACATCTATAATTATTTCTGCTTCTCTCCATCTGAATCTATATTAAGCTAACTATGAATTCTTAATGACATTTTGGACATATGCATTACTACATGGCTCATTTTAGCCTTCTACTCATCTGTAAGTTCCCTCTCCAGCAATAAACCTGGTTCCCTCCATCGATCGGTTTAATATTAAGGACTAACTTTCTACCTTTTTCTCTACTTCATGTAATTCTATAAATTTATCATATGTAATTTCCACATTTCATTGAAAGAATATATAACCAGAAGCAGAAATAACAAAAATATGAAATATCTTTCAAGTTCTCCAAGTTCTTATCACAACAGTGAAGAAGTGGACACTTTTTTTTTTTTTAAACCATCGAGACCACTGGATCTCTTCCGATTACAGGCTCTCAGGAAAGTAAACATCATCAAAAGAGGATAACTATACTTTGTCTTTTCATTTTGCCACAATGTCTTGTTGCAGCAGTTGTTTAGAATAACTATACAATTTATCACCTTCCCCAAGAAGTTTGAGTTATCAAGGCTGGAAGAATTTATGTTAAAGAGGAAGAAGATTTTGTGAGAAATCCTTCCGTTTTTACAATCATTAGGGTCATGGATTTCTTGACAGTGGCCAATGAAGGACAGAATTATATTTGATTAATTAATTCATCTTAAATCTGTCGATGTTTTAAAAAAAAGTTTAAAATAAAAATCTATTGAAATTCCAGATCTGGCTATAAGCTTCTGTCTTTGAAAAGCTGTCACATTTGCAATGATAGTATCACCTTCAGTGTATGAATAATAGAAGTATTATTGCCATAATATCATTATTAATAAAAATATTGTTACCTCTAAGACTCAGTGGACTGGTCAACACTGATATACCATGGGCGCCTGGCTGGCAATAAACAATTAAGACATCATATTCGGAAATGCTTGATGCGTATTACTTCAATGCTTTGGTGTTACTCTCAGGCCTCTGAGCCCAAGCCAAGTCATTGCATCCCCTGTGACTTGCACGTATATGCCCAGATGGCCTGAAGTAACTGAAAAATCACAAAAGAAGTGAAAATGCCCTGCCCCACCTTAACCGATGACATTCCACCACAAAAGAAGTGAAAATGGCCGGTCCTTGCCTTAAGCAATGACATTATCTTGTGAAATCCCCTTTCCTGGCTCATCCTGGCTCAAAAAGCTGCCCCACTGAGCACCTTGTGACCCCCACTCCTGCCTGCCAGAGAACAAGCCCCCTTTGACTGTCATTTTCCTTTACCTACCCAAATCCTATAAAACAGCCCCACCCTTACCTCCCTTCGCTGACTCTTTTCGGGACTCAGCCCGCCTGCACCCAGGTGATTAAAAAGCTTTACTGCTCACACAAAGCCTGTTTGGTGGTCACTTCACACAGACGCGCATGACAGTTATGATCTTCTCAAGGGATTTAAAAAATACATGTGAAACCAGGCCAGCTACTGGGATTTTTAGTTTTCAGTATTTTTGGAGATGAGGCCTCGCTCTGTCACCCAGGCTGGAGTACACTGGCACAATCTCGGCTCACTGCAACCTCTGCCTCCTGGGTTCAAGTGATTCTCCCACCTCAGCCTCTCAAGTAGCTGGCATTACAGGCACGTACCACATACCTGGCTACTTTTTGTATTTTTAGTAGGGACGGTTTCACCATGTAGGCCAGGCTGATCTCGAATTCCTGGCCACAAGCGATCTGCCTGCCTCAGCCTCCCAAAGTGTTGGGATTACAGGCGTGAGCCACTGCATCTGGCGAGATTTTTAGTTTTACATTATTTCCCTTGCTTTAGAGCTAAAGTTTTCTGTAGCATTACTAAATGTATACAATCCAATTAATGTTTTAAAATAGTGGCAAGTAGGAATTAGGTATTCTCAATTACTCCTCCTTTCAATACTGTGCTTTTTGGTAATGTTTTCCAGTGTTTAACAGGAAAACCACTGCAAGCAGGAAATAGATAAAATTAGCTTATCAGTTCCAGCAACTACTTTTAATAATTTTCACCTGGCACAATTCACTTATTCAATAGTAATTACTTTTCTTTTTTTTTGAGATGAAGTCTTGCTCTTTCACCCAGGCTGGAGTGCAGCGGTGTGATCTCAGCTGACTGCAACCTCCGCCTCCCAGGTTCAAGTGATTCTCTACTTAGCCTCCTGAGTAGCTGGGATTACAGGCGCCCGCCAGCACACCCAGCTAATTTTTTGTATTTTTAGTAGAGACCAGGGTTTCACCATGTCGGCCATGCTGGTCTCGAACTGCTGACCTCAGGTGATCCACCTGCCTCAGCCTCCCAAAATGCTGGGATTACAGGCGTAAGCCACCGCACCCAGCCCTCAAGAGTAATTACTTGAATAGGGAGTACTAGGTTTAGTATTGTGGGAGATTCAATGCCAGGAACAAGGCTACACTCACAGTCAATATTAAATAAAAGAGTTGTTTTTCTATGGATTATAATGATTTTCTGTGAAGACTCTTTCGTGGCCAGGCGTGGTGGCTCACGCCTGTAATCCCAACACTTTGGAAGGCCAAAGCAGGTGGATCACTGGAGGTTAGGCGTTTGAGACCAGCCTGGGCAACATAGTGAAATCCTGTCTCTACTAAAAATACAAAAATTAGCTGGGTGTGGTGGTGCACAGCAGTAAATCCAGCTACTTGGGTGGCTGAGGCACGAGAATTGCTTGAACCCAGGGAGATGGAGGTAGCAGTGAGCTGAAATCACGCCACTGCACTCCAGTCTGGGCAACAGAGTGAGACTGTGTTTCAGAGGAGAGAAAAGAAAAAAAAAAAAAAACACTTTAGTTTGCATTAAAGAAACCAATCTTAGTAGCCCGAATTTACCAGAGGTGACCAAAATTATTTAAAACACATAGATATGACAAAAATGTGGGGTCTGGAGTCAAACTGAGTTCAAATCCCTGGTTTACCTCCTAATAACATGACAAGTTAATGGACCTCCCTAAGCCTCAATTTCCTCTTCTGTAAAATGCAGGTAATACCTATGAGCATTAGTTTTGAGGCACAAATGCTCAATTAATGTCAATTTGTAATATAACAAACTGGAATAGACGTTAGTGGTTAATACTTTCTCATTTGTCAGCCTCTCTCTATTTCACATCACTGCTGTATGTGGATTACACACTGCCCCCAGACTGAACCACATACAGTGCTCTCAATACTGGAAGGTATTTTACACTTCTTAGAAATACTCTTCCCTTCCTGGACTACTTAGCAAACTCCTACCCTCAAGATTCGGCCCACACACCTCTCATTTATCTGGTCACTTACTCATCATCCAACATTTTTTTTTTTTAACACTCGCTGTAAATGGCATCCTCGTTCTAGAAACACATCTACCAGCAATTAAAACATGCCGAATTAGCACTGCTTAGGAGAACACCTACTGAATATGCATCTTAGATCATCTTCCTTTTTAGAATACTGATCCCACCTGCTACACGCCTGGTGAAAACTCCAGTTACTTGCCAGTAAGATATTGTCCCCCAAATGTACTTATCCTGTTTTCGTGCATTATAAGCTTTGTTCAGTTTATAGTTTCTAGGCCCATTACTAAGGATAAGTCAGATATCCAGCTGAGATATAACTTTTTTTTCTGAAAACAATGTGAGCTATGGAAGGGAGAAAAGCTGTTAACGACTCCCAAAATTTCCTTTCCTTATGAAATTCACATATGTAACAGGCAGTTAAAATATAACTACCAGACTTAATGCATACTGAACAGAAATCTTGTTTCAAAGAAAAGATATGAAATATGGAGGCACTTTCACCACACAAATATCCCATTACATATGCTAACTGCAATATTTATGTTCAAAACTCTAAGAACGTGTCTGATACTCTTTGAAGGGAATTCCTGAAAATGAACTTCTGTGCAAACCTGAAGCTTCAATGTATGTGTTTTAAAAAGGAATGTTTACTGAATTTAAACAAGAGAAAAGGGAAATTGGCAATATGGACACGTGACCCCCTCACAACTCTGACAGTAATCTCTGCACTGCCATTCTTTAAACATCATTAAAAGGTATTGCGAATAGTTTAAGTATTAAAAATACGTAAGAATGATTCTATGTTTGAACACACATTTATGTTCAAACATTCATATGAATAAAAATGCTTAAAACCACCCCTTGGGTAACTAACAACATAAACTTGCGATTGCAAATTTTATGGCTCTTACTACAAAACAAAAATTAGAATGAAAAGACCACTTATCTTTAGAGGACAAGCATGAGCTTGTCTTCTAACAGCACAATAACAAACGTATGTATTCCTCCGTGCTTTCAAAGGCATCAACAGAAGGGAATCACTAAAAATGTAGGGGAAAAGAAACCACTAGGCTGGAGCTTTGGTGTCTACGCAGATCCTGCTGGAACAGCGCTTAGGGAGAGTCTAGGGAGCAGCTCTGACGTCAGCGGCAGCCATCGGAAGTCAGGTCTGTTCTACAAAAGCAGCGACGCACGCCCGGCAGCACCCGCGGCGCAGGAGGGCGCCATCCCCAGCCCCGCGGGTCCGAATCGCACGCGGCCAGGGCCGCTCTCCCGTGAGGAGAGCCCGGCGTGACGGTCCTAGCGTGCTGCGGCCTCTCCCCGGGGCTCCTCCACAAGGATCCCTGCGGGGGCCGGGCTCGGCCTTTGCCGCTCGGGACAGCCATCCCCTCGAATTCGCGCTCGCAGTCCCTGCCTTCACTTCCCGGGTTGGGAGGCGGGCGACGGCGCGCGAGATAAAGGAACTCGCATTCCCCGGCGCCGAGGCGGCAGCAGCGCCGTGCACAGCGGCTTCTGAGCGCGGCGTCAACGGGGAGTTGCGTGCGGCTCCCTGTTTCCGGGTTACGTGCGCGCCTGCAGAGCCAAAACCTGCGGCCGAAACTCCCGCTTCTCCGGAAGGATTAAAGGGCGGGCGCGCCACCGGGAGACGTGTCAAACTCAGCGCGCCTCATGGCGGCCGCGGCACCCCTCCCGCCCGGGCTCCCGTCCGTCCCCGCCCGCTGACTTACCCTGCGCACGCGCGCTGAGGCTCCGTGCGGCGGCCGCGGGCCCCGCCCCGAGGTGGGAGGGCCTGGCGCATCCGCAGCTGGCCAATCGGCGGATGGCCTCGCTCGCCCGCCCCCGCCCCATCCTGCCCCCGGCGCCGGGCTCCACGTGCTAGTGTTTGTGTACGTGCGGCCTCCCGCGGGGCTGGACCGGGTCCAGGTGGTTGGGGATTAGACTGCTCGGGCGCAACCGGAGCTGGGGCGCGGCTGCCAAGGGCCGGCCCGCAAGTCCCAGCGGTCTTTAAATTCTCCAGTGCTGGGGCCGGCGTGCGCACTCTTACCTGCCGCGCTGCGGCGAGCGTCCCACCGCTCTGCACTTCCAAGGACTCTTGTCATCTGCCTTAGGCGGGAAATGCTGTTGCTGGACTGCAACCCCGAGGTGAGCTTTTGTCCTGCAGGCTCAAGTTTCCAGACGCCTCTTCTCGGGAACGCAGGGACTGACCACTGGGCGCTGCCTGGTCTCGCCTGGTCAGAGCTGGTTGTGAAGGGCGAGGCGATTTCCAGCCCGGAGGGGCGCGGGACTGGACAAAGGTGAGAGAGGTGCTGGATCTGTTCTCTTCCCGCAGGTGGATGGTCTGAAGCATTTGCTGGAGACAGGAGCCTCGGTCAACGCACCCCCGGATCCCTGCGAGCAGTCGCCTGTCCACTTAGCCGCAGGAAGCGGCCTTGCTTGCTTTCTTCTCTGGCAGCTGCAAACGGGCGCTGACCTCAACCAACAGGTAACTAGGTAACTGATTGTTGCTGTGCACAGCCCTCCCCTCCAGCCCAGATCCAAACAAACATTTCTCAGACGCCGAGAGTTGCTTCAGCTCTATAGCAGCCATGTCCAACGGAAATAGAATGCAAGACACAGATGTAATTTAAAATTTTTTTTTCCAGTCTTGATGTGAGGACATGAGAAATTTCAAGTAGCCACATAAATAAACATGGAATTTTAGTATTTGACCCAATTTGTCCAAAATATCATCAGTTCAATATGTAATCAACATAAAGCATTTGCTGATTAGATATTTTACATTTTCTTTTACTCTGTGTCTTCACGATCCGGTGTGACAGCATATCTCCAAGCAGACTAGCCACGTTTCAGATACTCTAGCCTTAAGTGGCTATTGACTCATATTGAACAGCACAGATCTAGTTTATTTCAAAAGAAGTAATTGCTACATTACTAAGTCTCCCGGCAGCAATTCAAGTACTTGCGAGCTATGTCCACAAGCATTCTAATTTCCTAAAGAATTTTCTTACTGTAGTTTTCATCTTCCATTGAATATTGAAACATGGTGAATTTTAAATTGTAAACTTTTCTGGGAGAACTCTGTTTTTATTTTCTTATATTTTAATGTATGTGGATATGGCTACACGTTTTTATTTATTTATTTTGAGACGGAGTTTTGCTCTTGTCACCCAGGCTGGAGTGCAATGGCGCAATCTCGGCTCACTGCAATCTCTGCCTCCTGGGTTCAAGAGCTTCTCCTGCCTCAGCCTCTGTAGTAGCTGGGATTACAGGCACACGCCACCATGCCTGGCTAATTTTTGTATTTTATTAGAGACGGGGTTTCACCATGTTGGCCAGGCTAGTCTTGAACTCCTGACCTTAGGTAATCCGCCTGCCTCCCAAAGTGCTGGGATTACAGGAGTGAGCCACCACGCCCAGCCACACGTTTTTATTAATGAAAACGGTATGAAAAAGCAAACTAACTTATCAAAAATAAGCTTTTACAGCTTACCGAGGGAAAAAAAATGAAACGCTTGAAGTAAAAAATTCAGTCCAAAGGAGGAGATTTTCAGAAGGTTCCATACTGAAATGAATATGCAAGCATAGTACATTCCTATGTTTCAAATTAGCCCAGGGAGTTGGCTATCCCTAATGTAATCACTGAAAGTATCTAGAAGATCTAAATAAAGGAATGAATGATAATCATTTCAGAGCATATGCTAGAATGTTGAAGTTATAATAATAATCCACTAGTTATTTAAATTAATTCTGCATTCCTGAAATCTTGCACTTGTAAACAATTATCAATAATGTTTTTAATTAGAATAGATGTTGATGCACATTTATATGTATCAAAAACACTTTACTTCTTAATCTTAAAGTGACTTAAGACTTCTCATTTCTGAAAACAAACCCAAACCTGAACTGAGAATGAATATTAACAAAATAAATCCACAAAAAGTGTTTGTGTTCTCTGCCAAAAAAAAAAAAAGATTCCATCCAGTACAATGCAATTCTAACTAGCTTCCTTACATAGCTAATATTAGATGTCACTCACCATCTTCCACAAAAAGTATTTTTGGGAGACTCTAAAATGTACTGTCTTACCTTAAGGATGTTTTAGGAGAAGCTCCACTACACAAGGCAGCAAAAGTTGGAAGCCTGGAGTGCCTTAGCCTGCTTGTAGCCAGTGATGCCCAAATTGAGTGAGTATGAAAACAGTGGCTTCACATTTCATGTTTCCTTGGATTAAACTAATCAGACTCCTAAAGCTTAGTTACATGTGCTTTTGAAAATAATGCTTGTCTAATTGATAATTTAGTGTTAATCATTTAAATGTTAACTTAGGTTGTTGGTGCTGTCTAATAATACTCTGTTCGAGTCAGTAAAAAGTCAGATCCTGAGCAATCAGAGGTGCAATTTTGTTCATTATGACTGTATTCTACTTCCGTTTCGGTTTAGGAAAACCCATTCTGTAGTTCTCATTGACTACCTTTGGGTACTCATACACCGTGTTAAACATCAGATAATTCTTACATTCATTCAGAACTGGAATGGCCACTCTATGCTGGATTCTGTTAGTTGCTGAGGATACAATAGTGACCAAAAATGCGATTTCCCCACGCATCCTTTACCTCTTCTGTTCTGCAGTCAACATTTGTATGAGCCCAAAATTCCCTTATAAGATATTTAAAAAAAGACTTAAGTTCAATTTTTCATTTAACTCAATTTTTATCATATTTTCAGTTTATGTAATAAGAACGGACAAACAGCTGAAGATCTCGCTTGGTCATGTGGATTTCCAGACTGTGCCAAGTTTCTTACAACAATTAAATGCATGCAGACAGTAAAACCAAGTGAACACTCTGACAGGAATGATCGTGTTCCTGTGCTCAGACAGAAACGAAGTTTTGGAAGTGTAGGAAATATCAGTGGGAAAAGGAAGTGTTGGTAAGTAACTCAGAGCTGCTGTTTTCCTCCCTCAGTAATTAATCTCATTTGCATAGCATTTATTATTCCATTTAATATTGACACTCTTATTTCTAGTAGTGGTGTTTCATTCTCATTAACATCTTAATATTGGTTATATGAGTCTAGAGACCAAAAATGGGCCTGCATGGTGGAAGTTTGGGGATAAAACTCGTTTTTTTACAAAAAGTTTTTAATGTTAGCATGTTTTTTTAAAAACAGATGTCACATGGGTCATGAAGAAGTCTGAAGAACGCCCTCATTTCATGCAGATCTATAAGCTCCTGCTTTTGGCTTTACCATATGTGTGTCTAAACTCCTTCTGAGGAGGAGGAAAAACTTTCTTCCAAGTGAAGATCCATTTAAGAACACATGTATTTACATGCTTATAACATGCTGGTTGTGTATGCTTTGTCTTTTAAGTTTTATTAAAGGAATGTCTAAAAAATACATTCTCCGTGCAGTATTTACAACCTTTGAAAAAGGTCATAATTTAAACCGTCAAACTAGAACCAGGATTTAAGGTGAAATTAAACTGATTCTTTATTCACAAATTTACAATACCACTCTACTGCAGTCTTTGACTCCAAGATATTTTAAATCATATTTGGTCGCTGAGGAAGACATAAGTTATAGTATGCATCCTTGTTCCAAAAGTCTGGACCCTTCCATCCGCACCAGCCCTGGATAGAGGAGAAGGGAAAGGGAAAGCCTTTTACAAAGTTACAAGATGATGTCATGGAAATCGTGGCATCAGGCTCTGTCAGCAGGACCTTGGAATAAGACTCTAAATGGCTTTATCATTCAAGGATTTGAACTCCTACTAAGCAAAGAAAAGTAACTTACCCTTTTTAAGGTAGGTTTTTGAACTTTTAATTCTATATAATTCATCATAAAAATCATTAAAAAAAAAAACTTATAATTACTCCAGATACCACACTTTACTGATTCTGAGATGTATAGTTTTACTGCTTGAAACTGACAGCATGTGACAGTTGAACTAGCAGTCTGTTTTTCTGAGTAGTCCATAAAGGGCTGTAAGAGACCATTCAGTGGCATCTTAGGATTGAAGCACTGTAGTGAGAAACCTCAGCTTGCCCCCTGCCTGGCACTCTGTGCCCTTTCATTTTCAAATCCCAGGTGTTAACTCCATTCTGCTTTCTATGTTTCATGTCAGTATCCATCCTTTTTGACCTCAGAGAAAATTACTTTCAAGCAAAATCTCACTTAGAATATGAAAATTTCTCAGATTTCTTCTAGGACCACTGAGTTACTAAAGAAGGAAACTTGAAGGAAAAGCCAATAACTGGTCTGTATTGTATGATTCTCAAATGAAATGCTTTGAGAAATCCTTGCGAAGAGGCTGAGACTCTGAAAATACCACGGAGTGAGTGACAAGCAGTGGTCTGACTCCCTCCCAAATAAGATACACATTGTAAAAAAACAAAAGTAAAAAATCCTCCACCAGTCCTACTCCCCACTCTCCCTAGGTAACCAGCATTCTATTTATCATCTCATTTTTTCAGCAAAAGTTTCTCTTAATGTCCTGTTTTTCTTAACAGACAAATAGAAAAAAGACTCACTCTCTGTTTTAACCTTTTTTTGATCCTTTTACACATGAAGGTCTTATCCAGGTAACCAGATCCAAATTTCTTAAAGGAGAAACGGGTAGAGAGGGTGTCAAAATGGGATTGTATAGGGACATGGTGCTTAGGACATGCTTGTTTCCTGAGAGATGACCAGCCTGGGAACTTCAAACAAGAAGGCACCACAAGAAGACAAAGGTCAGGCAGAGATGGAACTCTCCTCTGGCCTCCTGGGTTTCTGGAGTCGAGTGAATCATTTCCAAGTGGAAGCCTGGAGTGCCTTAGCCTGCTTGTAGCCAGTGATGGCTTCACAGTTTCTTGTGCATACAAATAGCGCAAGGAGGTATCTGCTGTTGAAAAGTTCTATAGAAATATAACTAGCAAAGATGGAGACTGCAATTCTCAGAGAAAGGAACCAGGTACAATCCCTTACTCTAATTGTTCAGAAACCTTATCTAGATAATGCCATGTAGTGCAGAGTCCCTTGAGCCAACCAGAAAAGATACATTTTATGATGAAAATAATTAAGGCTTCTCCCTGCCTTTAAGAAAAAATCTAAATGCCTGGTTCACAAAGACCACCCCCCCACCGCCTTTTTTTTTTTTTTTTTTTTTTTTTGAGACGGAGTCTCGCTCTGTTGCCCAGGCTGGAGTGCAGAGGTGCGATCTCGGCTCACTGCAAGCTCTGCCTCTCATGTTCGTGCCATTCTCCTGCCTCAGCCTCCCAAGTAGCTGGGACTACAGGCACCCGCCACCGCGCCCCGCTAATTTTTTGTATTTTTAGTAGAGACGGGGTTTTACCACGTTAGCCAGGATGGTCTCGATCTCCTGACCTCGTGATCCGCCCGCCTCCCAAAGTGCTGGGATTACAGGTGTGAGCCACCGCGCCCGCCAAGACTACCCTTTTTGACTGAGCTTGGTGTGTCCTTCCAGCCTCACCTCCACCTAGCTCTGGACACTGATCTACCTGGAATGTAGCTTTCACTGTTCCTACAGGGTTCCGCTACAGCATCAGCCTCGTAAAAGCACCTGAGATACCATTTTTTTTTTCTTGAGAGTCCTTTTTGGACTGTCCTTCTCTGCCCTACACTAAAGGTTTTAGCTCCCTAAAAACCTCGTGTAATACTAGTGCTTAGGACAGTGCCTGGCACTTATTAGGTACTTTAATAAATATCGAACGAACACCTTGCTACAGAACAAGAGCACTGCTACTATATTCAGTAAGATACATGTACCAGTCAGAAACCTTTTAGAGACTTCAAATTCCAAATGCTGTGAAAGAGAAAAGCAAAAGGAAAAACACAACTGTAATAACACATGTCCATCCTGTTAGTGTTTACCCTTCTCATAAACAAAAGACTTCAGTAAACTGACAGTAGAAGACAACTGGACTACACACATTCAAAACTGGTTTTTTTTTTGTTTTTGAGCCAGAGTTTCACCCGTGTTGTCCAGGCTGGAGTGCGATAGCGCCATTTCGGCTCACTGCAACCTCCGCCTCCTCGGTTCAAGTGATTACCCTGCCTCAGCCTCCCACATAGCTGGGATTACAGGCGCCTGCCACCTGCCTGTCTAACTTTTGTATTTTTAGTGGAGACGGAGTTTCACCATGTTGGCCAGGTGGGTCTCAAATTCCTTATCTCAGGTGATCCGCCCACCTCAGCATCCCAAAGTGCTGGGATTACAGGTGTGAGCCACCACGCCCGGCTTAAAACTCTTTAACATATTAAAACATTTTATCTTTAGTTTACGGTTTAAAAGTATGTATTCTCTGCAATTTCAATGTATTTGGCAAAGAAGATAAATGTTACTTAAAGTTAATTATGTTTTACAATACTTTCTCCTAAAGACCTAGTGCTGAGTTTTCATATGTGAGAATTAGTTGCCTATGAATTAACAACTTTTTACCTCCCTTACCTGCTATTGTAAGTGCGAACAAATACTCTTAGACATGTATCAACTTCAAACCCTTTATAGAGTGAGATTAGGTAATATGTAAATAAATTAAAATTAGTCAGGCCTCCATAATGTCTAGCAAACTGCTTAGCTATCTTTTGGTTACTTCTGAAATTTTAAAAGTTTATATATTCCACTCATCTATTTTAAGACATTGATAAACTTTGATATATTTGTTTATGAAAGCTCTAAAATCTCCAAAGGAATATATTTATGAGTGTGTGTCCTATTATTAATTTTAATAACAGAGAAAGTTTCTATAAATCTGTATTTTGTCTTTTGCAATGTGCGTTGTTCCTGCACGTTCCCTATACAGAGAGGGCTACTGACAACAGCCTCAGAAGGCCTCCTCACAGGGAGGATCTCTGCCCTCAGCTTACTGTCCTTCTGTTACCAGCCAGTTTGTGATCCTTCATTTCTAGGTTCTTTGCCTTGTGTCTCAATTTGTGTTCAATGGATACTTACCTTTTCCAAAATAACTTGCAGGTCTTCAGCACCAGTATAATGTGGATCTAGAATCAGAAACTTTATCTGCCCTGTAATCTCATTCCATGCAACTCCTAGTATTGTGTGGGCCAAAACTCCGCCCCCTATATAAGAAAAAATAGGAAATAAGAATGAAGGCATAAACAAATGTCAAATGCCTATTCAATTTAAAAAGACAGATTACAGCCCTGCGCAGTGGCTCACACCTATAATCCCAGCACCTTGGGAGGCCGAGGTGGGCGGATCACGAGGTCCTAATACAGTGAAACCCTGTCTCTACTAAAAAAATGCAAAAAAAATAGCTGGGCATGGTGGTAGGTGCCTGTAGTCCCAGCTACTCAGGAGGCTGAGGCAGGAGAATGGTGTGAACCTGGGAGGTAGAGCTTGCAATAAGCTAAGATCATGCTACCGTACTCCAGTCTGGGCGACACAGCAAGACTCAAAAAAAAAAAAAGATACTTTGCCTATTAACTGATCTAAAATAGCATTAAAATGGACTGCTCTAAACTATAAAAGTGTGGGGAAAATAAAGAGAGATCAGACTGTTACTGTGTCTATGTAGAAAGAAGCAGACATAAGAGACTCCATTTTGTTCTATATTTGAGATGCTGTTAATCTGTGACCCTACCCCCAACTTTGTCCTTGCAAGAGACATGTGCTGTGGTGACTCAAGGTTTAAAGGATTTGGCGCTGTGCAGGGTGTGCTTTGTTAAACAAGTGCCTGAAGGCAGTATACTTGTGAAAAGTCATCACCATTCTCTTAATCTCAAGTACCCAGGCACACATACACTGCCAAAGGTCACAGGGACCTCTGCCTAGGAAAGCTAGGTATTGTCCAAGGTTTCTCCCCATGTGATAGTCTGAAATATGGCCTCGGGGGAAGGGAAAGACCTAATCATCCCCTAGCCTGACACCCGTGAAGGGTCTGTGCTGAGGAGGATTACTACAAGAGGAAAGAAGGCCTCTTGGCAGTTGAGATAGAGAAAAGCATCTGTCTCCTGCCCGTCCTGGGCAATGGAACATCTCGGTGTAAAACCCGATTGTATGTTCTATTTACCTCAGCCTCCTGAGTAGCTAGGACTACAGGCACACACCAGCACGCCCAGCGAATTTTTTATATTTTTTTTAGTAGAGATGGGGTTTCACTGTGTTAGCCAGGATGGTCTTGATCTCTTGACCTCGTGATCCGCCCACCTTGGCCTCCCAAAGTGCTAGGATGACAGGCATAAGCCGACGTGCCCGGCATTTTTTTTTTTTTTTTTTGAGACAGAGTCTTGCTCTGTCACCCAGGCTGGAGTGCAGTGGGCAATCCCGGCTCACTGCAACCTCCACCTCCCAGCTCAAGCGATTCTCCTGTTTCAGCATCCCAAGTAGCTGGGATTACAGGTGCATGCCACTACACCCAGCTAATTTTTGTATTTTTAG